CCCAGCCTGTCCGGGTCCCTCTGCAGCGCCTTCCTACCTTCCGGCAGATCGAAATTCCCCCGCCAACTTGGTTGTCATCTGCAAATTTACTAAGCGTAGACTCAATCCCATCTAGGTCGTCAATAAAGATGTTGAACAAGATTGGGCCCGGTACTGATCCTCGGGGGACACCACTGGTCACCGGAAACCTACTGAATGCAGCACCATTCACCACCACTCTCTGGGCCTGGTCATCCAGCCAGTTTTTAAAACTCAGCAAAGAGTGCACCTGACCACCTTTATCAATGATATTTACAAGGAGACTGAGAGCAACCTCAGTAAGTTTGCAGACAACACCAAGTTAGGTGAGAGTGTTGATCTTCTTGCAGGTGGAAAGGCTCTACAGAGAGACCTGGACAGGCTGGATCAGTTGTATGAGGTTCAGCAAGGCCAGCTGCCGGGTCCTGCACTTTAGTAACAGCAGCCCCATGCAGTGCTACAGGGCTGGAGAGCTGCTCGGCAGAAAGAGACTTGAGGGTGTTGGTTGACACCAGCTGAACATGAGCCAGCAGTGTGCCCAGGTGGCCAAGAAGGCCAGTGGCATCCTGGCCTGCATCAGGAATAGTGTGGTCAGCAGGACTGCAGAAATGATTGTCACACTGTACTCAGCACTGGTGAAGCCACACCTTGTGTCTCGTGTTCAGTTTTGGGCGCCGCAGGTGCTGGAAAGAGTCCAGAGAAGGGCAACAAAGCTGGTGAAGAGTCTTGAGAATGAGTTGTATGAGAAACAGCTGATGGACTTAGGGTTGTTTAGCCTGAAGAAAAAGAGACTGAAGGAAGACCTCACTGCTTACTACTACTAGGTTGTAGTGAGGTGGGGGTTGGTCTCTTCCCACAAGTTACAACCAATAAGACAAGAGAAAATGGCCTCAAGTCACACCAGGGGATGTTTAGGCTAGACATTAAGAAAAAATTCTACATTGTAACAATCAGGGAGGTTGGATTAAATGATCTCTAAGGTTGCTTCCAGCCTAGGCAATTCTGTGATTCTGTGAAGCTGTCTGGTAATGCTAATTATCAAAGACTGGAACAGGCTGCCCAGGGAAGTGGTTGAATCACTATCCTTGGATGTCTTTAAAAGCCACCTAGATATGGTGCTCAAGGACATGGTTTAGACATAGACCTGGTAGAGCTAGATAACAGTTGGACCTGAGGATCTTAAAGGTCTTTTTCCAGCCAGAATGATTCTATAATTTATGATTCTATTTTTTAAGAATCCAGAAAAAAGTAACCCAAGAAAACTAAATGCAGCTTAGGAACTGCTCCAGGTTGAGAATAGTTATACAGGGAAACACCACATGGGCTTGCCCAGATCTTACTTCTTCCTAGTGCAAAGAGAAAAATGGGCTAGACAACCTTATTCTGCTGTTCAAACTAGCAAAGAAAAACCGTGCAGGTTAATGACATTTGGAGCTATCCATCGGTTTCCCTGCAGCCAGTAAAAATGCAGGTTGGATGTTAAAGATGCCCTCAGTCCTTCCCCAGAAAAATGGTGATCCTGCAAACTGTTGACCTTGAGAATGGGAACACTTGTGTGATACCTGCTGCTCCATAGCTGTGAAGGACACTAGTAAAGTTCGATGTGTAGTGAAAGTTATAAATATAAATATCCTTTCAAATTTCCAGCATGGGGGCAAAAGATGAGCCTTCTTAAATTAAACAATAAATATTGTACTTATTGTAAACAATAAATATTGTACTCTCCTTCAGAGCTATGTATTTTTGAAATGCCTGGTAAAAGTATACTTGCAACAGACCTGCCACAATGCTGTATTCTAACAAAATAGAGCTATGAGCATCGCAAGGGCAATGCAAAAGGGCTGCCTAACCCCAAGTGCCTCACAAAGCGGGCTAAATCCTGCCCAAGCGGCCAGCTCACATCCTCCTGCCTGTCACGATCAGTGCTGCCCTCTGGTCAGAAAGCAGCAGGGACTCTGTGGGTCTGTAACAAGTGAGGTATGTAAGAGTAGAGCTACCCTTTACAGCAAGGTCTTTGGGAATTCAGGGATCGTCAGGATTACATCTAAGCATGGATGCTGTGCCCTACAGCTAGGAAAACAACTTAAAACAATGTAAATAGTAGGTCACTGCACAGTAAGCAACATACTCATTCCATCAAAAAGAAATTAGAGTTTTTATATTTGAGTAACAGAAATGAACTGATGCATGCAGAGGAACTGAAGTTAAATTAGGGGGAAATAATACGTTGCTTAAAACAAAATTTATTTATTTCTCAGACTTCTAGTAAAATCTGAACTGTGCTTTCTTTATCCTCTAACATTTTCAAAACCAGGACATTTTCTTAAATGACAAAATTTAAAGTAAAATATTGGAACAACATTGGAATGATAAATACACATTTACAAGTAAAAATATATTTAGTCTGAAAGCAATGCACCTGACTACAAATAAGTGGAGGTGTTGCTGAAGATAAAATGGTAAAACACACCTAGGCATATTAAAATAATTCATTCCAATACCTTGCATTTTGTGAAACATTTCTTCTCTTACCACTATAAAATGATCAAGGACATCTTGAATACAACTATTTAGTGATTTAGTATTTTTCTCTACATACCTGCATCCCCTATAGAACCAATCACAGCAGAATGGTTTTTGCCTCAGAAATTATGGACTACGTTGAACTGACTAGAATAATGCTTTCAGATATTTTTTTTCCTGCAGGTCAGGTGCAAATGTGCATATACACTTATTTTAATGATATATTTAATTAGTTTCATATGCAGCCATGTAAAAATCACTGCATGTTTGACTAGACTGCTACAAAGTTTACTGCAGTTTGAACTGCGGTTTATGCTTCATATCCAGCTTTGACATACGCCCTAAGAACAAAAGCACTTACAAGCTCACATGACTTCTATTCAAAGTTTTTAAAAAGTAGCATTTCTTCCATTTTCAAAGTGTTCTTACCTCTTCCTTTGTCTTTTTTGATATGACTCTTAGCCAGTCTCCAATCATGCTGAGGACAGCTGCAAAGTAAGCAAGTCCAACGAGGATCCAGAACCAAACCACTGGCTTATAAAAATCTAGATAGTCAATATCTGATCCCCCTGAAAAACAATGTGGTTAAAATTAAAGCAGACTTAATAGTTGTAGGTACAAAACTGTTTTTAAATTAATCTTTTTCCTAAAAGAAAAAAAAACTACCACAGTTTTATTTCTTACTACTTCTCTTTTCTTACGCGTGTGCAAATTCATAGCAAAACATTTTGCTGAATTTGACTAAATGACGATCTAAAGTCATCCACTCTCAAAAACACAGTTTGAAGTGTGCAAGTTTTAGCCAATGATTGCTAATCATTCAAAATAATTTAAAAATGAAGACAAAATGATTCAATTTCCGATATATCATTAATTAAGGTAGAGGTCATTGATGACAGTTTGAATGAAAGCACTTCCCAACTGCTTCAGGTAACAATGCTGTACCAAGTTTCAAGTATTGCTCTAGAATACACAGTGTGTTCCTATCCTGAGAAAATTGATTTTGCACAGACTTTGAAACACATCTCAATACTTACCTGAATCCTTAGTAAAGATAAATATTGTCCTCTGCTTAACCCTAGTAAAGAACAGCACCTGCAATAACAAGTGTCCCTGTTGGGCAGGGAAACATTATTGCCTCCATTCACAGAGAAAACCAGGTGCAGGGACTTGAGCAGAATCGATGATACTCCAAAAAACAGTGGATAAAACAGATGTCCACTGAATGCAGCTTTTTGAATGCTACCACTGTAAGTAGCAGCCCCTTCCTTCCAGTGTTCAAGTAAAAAAGGATAAATTTCAGAGACGTCTGTAATGGAACTTTCAGGTACAATACAGCTATGGAAATCAGATGCCTTATGTCCACACAGAAGAAGTTATGTTTATCCAGAGCTCTTGACAACATAAGTCACATCTTGCATCCTGCAGTAACATAAAACAGAAGCCCTAAACTTGCAATTCTGCTGTGCTACGACAAATAAAATCAGGCTCTTAGTCTGGGTTGCTGCACATAGAAGTTTGATGTGCGTGTCTGCCCACAAGTGAAGAGAGTACAGCAAAACCTTTTCTGTCACGTTAAAGTAGTCTGTATGGTTCCATTATCTGTTGCTTTATGAATCCGCATCCTGTACTGTAACAGTCAAAGCAAAATTGGCCCCAAAATATCAAGCTCCTTGTTCCAGTAACAAGATTAACTCTCATGAAGAGTAATGTTTTTTCCTAGCTGTTATTATCTCATCATCACTGAGTACATGCAAATAGCAAAGAACTGTACTAATGGTTATCTTTGTGTGGAAGCCCTCATAGACAGAAATTTTCTTATTCTCATGGTAATAAGCCTTTCCATCAATAAAATCTGCTGTAGTGGTTTACTCAACCATCCAAAAGATGAATCCACGTCACAAAACATGGGTTTACCTTGACACTTGCAAAATTACAAGTAAGGTAGAAGACAGGGCTCTTGCTGGAAGAGAATACAGCCAAACACCAAAGGGATGAGTAACACAGCCAAAAGCAGAAATGAAGCAATTTGTTAACATCATCCAGATCATGTCAAGCCAGTAAAACATGATTTTAGGGATGATTTGCCAGAAATCTGTTGTCATTCAGAAACAGTTGATCACCACCAGACCTTTGTACTATCAGGAGCTACTAATGAACCACGCTCGGTGGTTCACCTTCTCCAGCTGTTTGTACAGCGCACAAGACAGTATCATAGAAAATATCTAATCAGTTGGGTTCTATTTTTTGGTGTATTAACTTTATAAACTGAAACTGAAATCTAACTCTGCCAGTCTGCGGGGAGCATTGTCTTCACAGTTGATACCTAATGTGTTTACAGCAAGGTTAATTACCAAGACAGGAGATATTCATATTCAATCAAGAGCTTTCTTTACTGTCTGGCCAGGAGATGGCTCCATCTAGCCATACCCAAAGGAGTTCAGCTTTCCTAAAGTTAGAAAGGGGCAGTCAACAAGCTTCTAGGAAAAGACTTCACAGCTAAAATAGCTGTTGAGTTTCTGAATTTCAAGGTCTCCTTGGTTGAGGTCTCAATTTAATGGAATACCAGGGAGAGGTATCTGAGGACAAACATCCTTAAGTATAACTACTGTCTCCTGTGATGCTTAAACATCATGGAGTGCTATAATGCAGTTACCTGGGAATGTCATTAAACAAGATTTCACTAGTAGGAAAACATGATCAAAAGTCAACTGTACTGAATTTAAAGTAAATTAAATTCATTAGCTACCAATTTACAATTCACATAAATGGGTAGGAATGTATTTGGGTATGAGTATGTATACATAAATATATTTGTACTGAAGTATATGAGATAATTGATTTTACTCGTGACATTGTAAAAAGCATATCAACATTTGCATGGATTTTTCATTGCATAATCTTTTACTTAATAATGTTATCATCTTTCTTCTGCAAAGCAGATTATTTTATGTAGCCCTCTAGGAAGCAAAATGCTGAGAAGGGAGAAGCTGAATTTTGTTGGTCGTTTGGCAAAACCAATTTTGTGGGCCAAGGGATAAATCATTTTTCCAGCTTCCTTTGACCTCTACCTGAAATAGATTATATTCACAATAAAAAAGAAATGTATTTCCCAACTGGAGTGTGCTTACTCTTTAACTAGAGGTCTCACTGCCATAATCTTTTACCAAAAGCAGCCAGAGTATATTTCCAAAAGGTTTTATGGTAAAGATTGGATCAAAAGTCCCTTGAAATCGATGAGAAATCAAATCGTTTTTCCATCCATCTTCATCACAGGCTATTGAATTGCTGCTGCCATCACAACTGCCAAACAACTTTTTAGTTATTTGGTATTTTCAACACTCTGGAAGGCAACGGCTGTTTTATGGCCCAAACACATATTCCTTACTGAGGTGAAAAGCTCTGTGTTTTAGTGAAGAACAGCATTAGAGAAGATTTCAGGGGTGCATTAGGGCAGTCCATTATTTATTTATGTACATAAAGCAAGTAAATTTTAAGTAAATAACTTTATTGCTGCCACTCTTTTCCCTATTCTTTTTACAGCTAACTGACTCCAAATATAAACATGCAATTATTTCTGTAAAGTTGTCTGATTTTGTTTGCATTTTTGCTTCAAAAGCAGAATCAGAGACTAAAAAGGGCTATTGGCCTTGAGTATTTTAATTCCATACCAGCAAAAATTTCTGGGTTATTCAAAAGTCGGCCCCTTCGAACCAGAAAATGTCTTAATTATTTTTTATCAGCAGTACAAATTATTCTGAGTACAGCAGTGTGATTAAATCCAAGCATGGTTTTAACTGCGGAATAACGAGCAGCTGTCCATCACCCTCATTCTATGAAACCTGGCTATCAGGCTTAATGCAGAAACAGCATTTGTCCCAGTCCAAAGAAATTTGGAGGTTCAGCCCTGCAGCTTGAAAGGAATTACCTCTGAGGATTGCAAAAAGGGACAGAGAAAGGCCAGCTTCATGCGGAGATGTGGAATGGCAGCAGGCTTGGGACAGGGTAACGTTGCACTGTCTGCGAGAGAGAACGTTAAGTAGGCCACACGAGTTTCTTCATGCCACTCGGTAGAAAATTGAGAGCTACTGCGGAAAACAAAGCATAGCTACAAACCTACAAACTCCTTACACGCTGTCCTATACAGAAATGGAGTGAGACACGGCACGCCGACTTTAAGCTTAAAGTAGGCTGCACGATTCACACCAGACGGCCCCTATTACAGACGTGAAGTCCTGAGGTGGCAAAGAGCACTTCCAAATGCCAAAAAAAGACACAAAGCCTGCGGGAGGGCGCACAGCTCTTGCGGGATGCTCAACATGTGCCTCTTGCTCAGCATAACAGTGGCTTCTTTCCGTAGATGTCTTTCCGCTGGGTAAGTAATATCACATAGCAGGTCGACTGGGCTGCTGTGACCACCAGGTGAAGTGTTCCAGTTTGGTGACATTAAATGAGACTAAAATATCTCAGTACTCGACAAAGTGGGTCTCAGGCCAAGCAGTACAGTGCAGACCCAGATATCTATATTACAGAGGCAACACACCAACTTCCATTACAGACCAAAACAGTAAAGAAGCAATAAGCTAAAAAACAGAGCTCAAACAAGGAACAACAAAAAAAGAACAAAACAACAACAAGAACCCAAACCAAAAGAGTTCAAATACATTTTTAAAGTGAGACTTGTAAAATCCTGTCATCTGTTGAATTGAACTGATTGTAGTCTAACTTTATACCATCATCGTGGCCTGCTGGAAAACAGACTATTGATGGGCTATTTGTATTTCTGACCTCTACTTAATTCAGTCAAGTTTTGGACATCTAATTTGGATTTGAAACCTGTTAGATAATATTTGATATATTTGAAATATTTGACTATACCTCCCAATCTGCACTGCAGTTAAAGAGTTTGTCTGTGCATATGAATAATATATTATCACGTTATAAATATACATATATATGTACTTCAGTGCTGACTTTAGTACCTGATACTATCTTTCATCACACTAAAAAATGACACATTTGACATGAAGAGATCTCTCTCTCATGTTTCCAAGAATATTCATAATATTGGCTGGATTTTCTTCTGTCATATTAAAGTCAATATGTTTCTCTTGAAAACAAGAAAACGGATGTTTGACTATGTCCTTATATAAGACAGCGCAGGCTGTAGTACAATTTCTTGCTTCCTTTTTTTGTGAAAAGCTGCGAAAATAAACTTTAATTACAAAGAAATTACTTTTTTCCCTATGAAAATAAAATAAAAATTCAGCCCCTCCAAAAGTTAGAAAAACCAAACCATTTCATAAGGCAGAGAAATGTTAAGTTTGGGAGTTGGAATACTGTTCGTATATTTTCTTGAACATGCACTACAAGGGCTCTTCATCTCTTGCCTCTTTGCATGCACCTTGAGTGATCAGTCCTTTTATGTTTCCCTTTAGGCTTCTCTCGCTTGTAGAAAGTGCAGCTAAAATTTCCATAAGCTCCAAATAACAACCTAGATTCTGAGTACAAAAGGACATGTTTTGATATCCTAGTTCCTGGGAACGGAGTACTTGGTCTCCAGTACAAATCAGAAGAAACCTGTAGAAAAATTCTGGAGAATTCCACAAGAATTTCTAATATGACAACCTGCACTACAACCGTTAACACTATTACATTCCTGAATCCAAAGTCCTTCTGCTGGCTCCCTTCCAGCTATTCAGACACACGCTTTCCTTACAGTTCTTCAGGGCTTCTCTCCAGCTTTTAGCTGCAGTGGTGTCAAAAAGCAGCAAGTTCCATGTTAGAGAAAAATAACTAGAAGTATTATAAGAAAATCTTCTTGTAACCCATGACATGTTATCACAACCATGACATTTTATGCAGAGCTTGCAAAAATGTTTTGTCCTCTGGGATGACAGTTACCAGGAAAAAAGTTACCAGAATATTTAGCAGCTTTCAAATATTTAGGAATTTTTGATTTTTAAGGGAACTCCTAGAGCCAAACCTCCTACATAATCATGAAATATCCCATGGATGTCCAATATGCTAAAAGAATAGTCAATTTCATTTTTATTGCTAAAAAAGTTCACTCCACTATAATTGCAAATTGGAGTCTCACTGCTCACAGCTCTGGTTTAGATTTGTCTATAATTCTGAGTGGAAGAAAGTAATTTTCACTCTAAGTATTATTTAAGAAGCATGCCTTTCTGGCCAGGAAAAATTCAGAAAAATTAATGCCATTGTGAGGCTTTTTCTGAACGCATTGCCATCTAGGCACTAAGTAGATTGAAGCATCATTCTGACTGCGGTAATGCCTCACCGTGACAAACTAGAGCCAAGAACATCATGCTCCAGCCCCAATTTCAGGTGCAATACCTATATCCTACCACTACAACCTTACACAGTATTACATGCTTTAACTCTACATGCCTGTTTTGTCTCTGTTTACGGCACTCAGCATTCCTAAACTTCAAGGAGTGAGTGTTCTAGGTGAAGCCTACCGCAAAAATATCAATGACTTTTAGTATCTGCATGGCAGTTATTGACTTCCCAAAAAAGAAAACAAGCAAACCAAAAATAATCATAAAGACAATTTACTGATCTGTTAGTTTGCAAAATATTTTGCATATTTCCTTAAAACTAATATGGAAGCATAGCCCTTAAGACAATTTTTATCATCTCTACTGCAAACTTGCAAGGTCAGTTTTCTTCAAATAGCTTAGTATTTATACACACAGATGACTTTAAGCTTTCACAATGCAAAGCACAGCCAATGAATATCTTATATTTTTCAGAATTTGTATTTAACTAGACAATTACATACTGGAATGACAAGAAAACAAATGGAGTTTTTTAGAAAATCCTTCAAGGCATCTGCCATAAACTGAGTACGTTGGTCCGCAGAAAGATGATAATATTGTCAACTTCATCCATGATAAAATACAGTCCCATGGCAATGTTAACTTCCCACTTATGATGGAAATAGTGATCTAACCATGCTCTCTTGAGCATCACCTTTGCAAGTACAAATCCAGTTCTCACATGTTGAAACATTAAATTGATAACATAATACAGTACAAGTCTTGTGCATGTTACTCTAAAAGAAAATAGAAAATATTCATGACATTCTGATATCATGCATTTACAGTGCAACTTTGAAATAAAAATATATATATATAAAGTGAACCATAAAAAGCTATAAGCTATAGAACTATGTAATTCAAGGACATTCTGTAGAAAGAGAAAGTATTTCCCAGTAAAATTTAAACCCAGACATTACATAGGGACAAATTATTATATCAATTGGTCTACAAATAGAAAAGTCTGTGGAAATTTATAATGAGAGTAATGATGAATGTACTCAGTGTTCTAGTTAGAGCCAAGTGGGCCATTTCAAATAATGATTTACAGTAAATATAACCAGGCCTTTATACACCATTATTTTTATTCCCTGACATACATGTACCCCTCAGGAACAAAATTCTAAACACCCAGACTCTTGCCTTGGAAATAGCATGAATTTTTTATTCAGTGCTAGCTAGAAGCTGACCAGAATCACAAATTCCTGAGGACAAAGGGGAAATAAGGAAAACAATATGGGAAAGGAAAGCGAAAAGGAAGAAATCAGTGAGACACTTTCAAAAGAAATATGAACGCATCACAAAAAAAATGTTGAACTCCAAATAAATTCCATTTGCCATTTTACAGCCCAGTTCTATAATTTATAACAATCTTTGACAACTTCTCAAGTGCTCTTGGCTTTTTAAACAGCTTGCATAATTCAGTATCTTCAACACTAACTAAATTTCCCCCTGTTTTATCCAGATCATTTATGAATACACCAAACAGTTCACACAATTCAGAGCCTTCCGTGGGGCTTCACCAACCTGAAAAACTTGTGCCAGTGACAAGCCCAGTCACATTCCTGCCCACTCCAAATAGGTCAGCCAGTCACTCGGAGGAGCCACCCAACCTGAGATCCTCACCCTCGTGCACCAGGATGCATGCAGCAGCCATGGGACACAGGAGGAGCCCACGCCATGTCGATATCTGCTAGAAATAACCTCCCTCCAGGACAGCAGCTCATGGAGAGCAGCCTGGCACTGCTGTCCTTCTCAGCTACTTCTGCCTTGCACAGAGTTCAGAGGTGGAAGGACGTGTCTCATGAAAGAGAGAGATGATGATGATGCATCAGGAGAGGCATGAGGTCAGGCTGAAGAAAGCAAGTCTTGGACTCAGAGCACAAAGCTAACTGAATTTCTAATCCTCACCTCAACACATCACTGACTCGGATCAGCATGCTTTCTCAACATAGGCAACAAGAGAAGTGGTCTAACACCTCTAATACCTTTCCAAGAAAAAACTTGATACAGAAAACTAGTCTGAAGCTTCTTTAGCTCAGTTTATCAAAGCTATGTGCAACCAACCCAATCCAGGTTAACAGAACCATAAAATTTGGACACGTTATCTATGGGTTGCGCTAAACCTTCTTACATTACAAAACACGTATGGACAAATGTGTACATAACACACAAAAGATAGAAAGCATAGAAGCAGCAACAGAGATATCTCAATGATAGTGCTCTGGAACACCACATTGAAAGTAAGAGATGCACACAAAACTATGTCATGTAACTTCACAGGGTGAAACATTTTAAGCAGCTCCAGCTGAAAAACAGAACATGCAGCAGACTAAAATACTGTACTAGTTCTTGTACTTCGTTCAATCTCTAAGTAAAAAAAAAAAAATCTACCTAAAAATCAAGTAAAGCATATTTTAACAGTCCAGGAGAAGTTAAATGAAGTCTATAAAGACAGGCACCATGCATTCCACCATCTCACCTCCTGTCTCTAGCCTGTCACATCACCCAAGATGAGGGCAGAACCCTTCACGTGCACTGACACAAGAATGACAAAGGGCAAAACTGGGGAGAGGAACCACAGCAGATGTGCCTATCCCAAAATAACACAAAAAAGGCAGAATATTATCACCATGCAAAATATTGTAAGATAAAAGAGTTATGAGAAAATCTTACCTGCAACATAGTCACCAAATCCTATGGTAGTTAAAGTGATAACCACAAAGTAAATTGCATCTAGTGTGTTCCAGCCTTCTATGTGCTTGAATATAACTGCAGGAAGAGCAACAAACAGCACGCAGCCAAACAGTATGAATATTATTGTTGAAATTATGCGAATCTTTGTCTGACTGACATTCCATTTCTGGAAAGGGAAGGGGAAAGAGAGGAAACCCATCGTTAATAAAACTGCACCACTGTACATAAGCACCTGGTTACCTCCAGTGAGGGCTACATTGCTCAAGAGGACAGTGCATTGTAATTCTCCAAGAAACATGAAAAATCAAAGCAAGATTTTATTTCAAAAGGGTTTTCAAAGCAAACATGACTATTCTAAGAAACATTTGCCAGCAGGAAATGCAGAGCAGCACTGGGCTCTTCATTGCGGCCACGTTCTCGATCTAGGCAAGTGGCACACATAGCATTCATTGATGCAATGCACGGTCATTAGCATGATGAGCTACACATGCTAAAGTTTGGAGTGAGGGCCAGATATTTGAGTGAGTGTCAAGTAGTGCTTGCACCTGCGATGACTGTACTTTTATGCAACCACAAATAACTGAATAAAAAAGGTAAAATTTAACCATACAGTTCTCTGTAGTCAAGTAACTGGCTAAACAAGACCACAGAAAACAGCTTGAAAGAACATGAAGAGATTGCCTTTTCCAAACCCTTCCCAAGACAAAAATAACCCCACTTGAGCCACTGCAGACACATTACTGGCCAGGCAACAGGTGATCATGCTTAACTGTTCTTGTCAAGAGAAAGTTTTCTTAATGTTTAACCTGCATCTCATCTCCTTTAGTCTATTACTATTTATGGTCTTATCCAAGGCAAACAAAGGAGAGTCCACAGAACATTTCTACAAAATTGCTGAGTTTGGGGTTTTTTTACAAAATGAGCTGTTTCCTAACATGTAATTGCATATTTTATTATACCTTCATACAGTACTTTGATTTTTTCCTTCTTGAATTGAATCCTGTATATTCAGACTGCTTTTCAAAATTTTAAAGATCATTTTGAATTCTTTTTCTGTCCTCCAACTTTTAGTTCTCTCCCCAGCTTGGGATAATGAACCAAGTCCTTTATCTGTGGTGTAAGCTATGAATGATTTCTCTTAAAAAAAAGTACCACAGGTAGAACAGACCACTGCAAAATCCTATTTGACATGCCCTGCCAATTTGACTTTACTCTAAAGAGCTTCCATCCATCCAAAGTACATTGTTTCAACTTAAAAGAAGGAAGGAAATGCACAAATCTGTAAACATTCAAAAAAAAAAGGAGACAAAAAATGAAATCACACTGTTCACAATATGTTTTCTTGTATTTAAGTTTAGTGGTGATGGAAACCACATTTTAGCCAGAATTACCAAAGTCCATCATTTGTAGTAGTTTGGGTTATGGTAACATGAAATTCTCTGCTCTCATCCATCAGCATCTTCTTCTTTTGGAGAACTAGTAAACAGAACAAGGGAGTGTTCTGGACTGCAACATATAGATTAGTGTTACTATTCATATATTGCCAAAAGGGGAAAGATGCTGCTTTTTATGTTGGGGAATTGCTTATGAGCAACAGGCTAAGGCACACAAAAATTGGTCTCAAGTCTTTGTATCGCAGAATCATAGAATGTTAGGGGTTGGAAGGGACCTTGAAAGATCATCTAGTCCAACCTGCCTGCCAGAGCAGGATCACCTACTTGTAAGCAAAAAATAAAATTCATTTACAAAAAAACCCCAGAAAGGATAAAAATAAAATGTTCTTATTGGAATGTTCTTGCTTTTTTTTAGACAAATCTCAATGGAAATGGATGTTACTCACTAGTATCTTGCCTGGACTTGAACTGATGTTTCAAAGTCAGAATACCTGCCTTCTCTTAAAAACTTTTCAGGCTTGTATTTACGTCTTACATAAGTCTACTCAGCACAGCCCCAGTTTGCTTTGCTTCAAAAATAAAGCCATGGCAGATCCTTTCTATATAGGAAAGGTGTCCTGCATGCAAGTTCAGGGCTTGTAGGAAAAACATTCCTTCTAACACTTGCAGTGCTGATGCAAACAGCTATAAAATTGGGCTGTTTACTAAGTATACACTGGATACGACACGTTCTACATATCAAAGACAAATAGTATTATTTCATATGTGCTTTGAACATTAGGTAATACAACATTGTGTTAAAGGTTAGTAAAACACCTAAATAATTAATTTTAAGTTTCATTATGCCTCAAAAAATCTCAGTAAACACGTTTTTAATAATTGCATTCATAATAATTGCAGCCAAAGAAAATAAAAGGAATACTGAACAGCTTAGCAGAGAAGGCTGAAAATACCTTAAGCTATAGAACATCCTACAGCCTAGTGAGGAGAGGACAAAGAGGAGTCCAGTGTCAGGGGAGCACCAACAGGCTCTGCACCATTTAGGCTGTCCTGCTTCCATAAATGCCCAAAGCTTTAGTCACCTACAGACCCGTAAATCTGGAAATGTAGGTGTCTACAGACTGCAAGTATTTCATCAGGAATGATAGCATCTGATTAGAGATTGTAAGAATTGTGATTTTAGACTCAGACACCAAAAGCCTTCTGGGATTCAAATCAAAATGGCAGCAGCAATTTCCATGTTACCCCTACAGCTTCCCTCTTCCATTTCTCTAAGACATAAATTTCATACCACAATTTATATATCACAATCTATATGAAAACTTTTAAAAGGAAAGCATCACAGCAAGCTTAGGAGTATTACAAGGGCAAAGCAAAAATAAAACATCTTGGATCTTGTTTCTCTTCCCAACCATAATTACTGTAGAAAGCATTGGGCTTCATCACAGTTTTTCCTACCTTTTGCTGTGCATCTGGTTACAATGATAAGCTATACCTTGCTTTTCGGACTTCTCATTTCACTTGTTAACTTCGGAACAACAAGCAGCATGAAGAACAAAGGAGGCAGTCAGTATACTCACAACAAAGGTATCTTCTACTTTGGCAATTCCTTTTCCAAAGATTGTCCCTAGTTGATCTCCAACACCAGCCAAAAGAAAACCAAACAGAGGAATTCCCAATAAGGCATAGATGATGCAGAATATCTTTCCACCTTGTGTGCGTGGGGAGACGTTTCCAAAGCCTAAATTACAAACAACTGGAGATGTTTAAGAAAGTACATATATAATGTATACCTTCTATGAGTCTAAATTACATTACACGCTTTAAAAGTACGGCAGGAATAACATGGTTAAAAACAGGTCCTACTAGGTTAACCATATGACACAGTAAACACTGTGAAAAATCAACTGAAAGTTTAGGTCATACAATCCCCTCTGAGCTAAAATTAAACTGCTGCACAATTTACCACCTTATTTTATATTGTAGGTGTACTGTGGAGAAGAAAAAACACTCAAATAAATATATATTTTTTTTACTCAGTGATAGCTTTCCTTATCTACGGCATGTAGTTAATACCAACTGATTAAGCTATGCCTTAGCCTCTGCTGCCTGGAACTGTCTGTTACTGGACTTGTTACTAGCAGGCTGCACTACCTGTAAAAAAGATAAATTTTTTCCTTCAGACACTCTGTGAAGCAGCCTGGAAAAAACTCCACTTGGATGAGAAAAACAGGGATTTTTAGCACAAATGGGACCTCATATAGAGTCTTCGTTATTGGCTTTGGTTCTTTCAGTGTTGCAAACAAAGCATAGAGAAACAGTTTAGAGTTCACGGCTCTGTCCATGTGAAAGTAGAAATCATTTTATCTTCACTGGCTTGTGTAAGAGAGCACCTTGATACGTCTGCACGACCTCAATTGCTGCTGGTCCACTTAGAACAGAGGAACTGAAATACAGAGAGCACAGGCCCCGGTACCTCTGAAATGCCCTCAAATGCATCTCCCAGGGTTGGTATTTTAATGATTTGGCCAAGGTTGCATAGGCAGAACCCTACAGATGAGTTCCATGAGTATCAGTCCTCCATTTTAATTCAGAAGTTTTTCTCCTCCAAAGGATCCCTCAGATTTTGGGGGAACAGCAGTACTTACAACACAGCATTTCTCTTGTTGTTTCACTTTTCAGCACAACAGTGTGCACTTCAAAGGAGGCCAAAGGAAGCCAGAAGAAGAACTTGTGAGAAAAAGGCTTATTTTCAATGGAGAAAATAAACAATCTTTTTTTAAAAAAAATTACCTTTTGGGTAGAAAACCTTATAAAGCTAAATATTTTAGAAAGCAATTGAGATATTTTCTTCTTATTGTCTTAAATTTTACAGAAGAGATACTTTTCATATACACAAAAAGTCATTGAAAAAATCCAATTTTCCCATGAAGAAGCTCATAGACAAATTTTATCAGTTCTACTGAGAACTTGCAACATAGTTTTCTTTTTAAAACAGCTTAGTATTTTTGCACATGACTGTAAGCTTCTACAGTAGAAAACATATTCAATTAATATCTTAGCTATTTGTCAGAATTTTTATTTAACTATTTTGAATATATTGGTTTAACATACAGATTTTCTTAATGTAATATCTCAATTTTTGGTTCTGCTCTCATGAAGGTAAGCTATAGCAAATCTTTGCTGTCAAAACTAATTTTTACTTTCAGTACATAAGAGAGACAAAGCTGCCCCTCACTCAATTTCATTAAAACAAAATCACACTGGGAATCTATTTTACTCCTATATATTTTGCCCTAATATCAGTTTCCAGATCATAATTGTGTGAACAGTAAAGGCAGTGTTGATAGAATTGTTACATTAAAAAAAAGTTTAAAAGCTGATATTAAAATTTTCCCAAAATCATGAGTAATATAACCTGTAAAATTAAAGAAAATGGAAAAAAAATGCAGGAAATATCATCAATTAAAGGTTGTGGAGTCCTCCAGTGTTGTAACTTTTCCCAGCACTAATATAATGAAAAAAAGTCTGACTCAGGAAAGTCAAAAAGGGTCAGAGCACCTTTAGACCAACCTAGCATCCCTCCCTAATGGATTACAGTAATTCAGGAAATTTCAGCTACATTGTGTTCACTCTGTTCCTGCATGCACCAAGCAGAGAACACCCTTGAGTTTTAAAATAAAAATAGCTCATCACCAACCAAAAAGGGACAAACAGATCCAAGATACTCAGTCTTCATAAACATGCCTGTTCATGCATCAGCAGGAGTCTGAATAGTTGCCAGAGTGTAATTCCTAAGGGGTCTTGATGCAATTCAGAATCAGGGGTCTGGATGCACCAGATTTACAAAACTCATACCAGGGGATTTGGAAATCACTTTTTTTTTTTTTTGCAAGAACTGTATTCCCTTGCTCTTTAAAAGCAGTGTCTCGTAATGGTGACAAAATACCAGTGCAGTGAAGCACATGCAAGCACGCAGTTTTGCTCGGTTACCTTCATAAAGCAAACTGGCATTCTCTGTGTATCTCACAGCTATTTCAGAGACAATTGCTGCCGCTGTATACTTCTCATCTGCTGCTAACTGGTATGAAAACACACACGTTCAGCTCTATGCATTATCCTCCCCAAATCAGTCATGTCTTGCTCCAGAAAAGGACAGCAGGTCACTTTTACACTCATAAATTCTTGCTTTTCATCATGAAAAATGACAAATGCTTTTCTTTCATAAGCAAGAAAGGTCTTGTATTATTAATTATACTTTAAAAAAATCTCACACATTACTGAATAAAATAATACTCCAACAGTTGGTAGTTTATCTCTGTCCAGATGTTCACTGCACATAATATAAACCACAATACTCTCGCGATAGGACATGTGCTTTACTGAACTGATCTACCAAGGGTTTTCCATCATACATTAATCATATTTCCAAGTGTCGTGTTTTATAACAGTCTGCTGCTGTACACCACAGCCTACTTTGTGAGTTACACAAATTGTCCTTACATCCTACTTTCAGCTGCTCCAGTGAAAAGCTAATCCATCATTTATGCAACAGGACAGGAAACATATTTATATTTCATATGGTTGATGTAGATCTTGAGGGGTTTGTCTCAGAAAAGTATTTGTCCATTCTTTAACAAAATTAAAAATAATCATAAAAAAAAAAAAAAAAGAATTCTGCTGGTAGGTAAACCCTAAAATTTCAGTTCAAGCACTGTGCTTGGAGAGGAGCACATGGCCACA